TTATTATTATTATTATTATTATTATTATTATTTATAATTTGTTATTATTTTTTATTATTATCATTTGTTATTTAATACTATTATTTATCAATATTTATTATTGCTTATTATTATTATTGTTTATTATTACTATTTTTGATTATATATTATTATTAATTAATAATAATAATAAATAATAATTTTTCGTAATTATTAATCATTATTATCATTGTTTTTTAAAGTAGGGCATAAATTTATCTTTATACATTCTGCTTATTATTAGGTGTAATCGAAGTCATTTCAAATTAGAAAGGAGTGTCAATTTAATGTGTTCCTCAAAACGATAAGATGAAAATTTGATTATCGGTTGTTGGCTGCATAGTTCTTAGTCTTGGTATCGTTCTTCCTCATAGTTTTTATTGTCATAAATTATATATAAGGACATATATTAGAAAATAATAATAATTGAGAACAAAATTAGATTTAAAATTAATCTTCAGGTACCGGGAACTGTACAATTTATCTCTGTTTATTCCTAGATATGTAGGGTTAATGTTCAATTTTGACATTTTTATTTTGTGCTTGGCAACTAAATTTTTTAATGTTTTACATATATTCTTCAACTTAATTTTGCTATTACTTACAAGAAAGTAATTGATTTTGCTAAGTTAATTTTTGTTATTGAGTTCTTATTTTATTTGCAAATAATTATTAGTCACTAATCATGTAATCACTAATGAGAAAAGCGTTTATTTGCAAACAAAATGTTAATTTCAAAATACTTATATAATTACTTTTTTGCTTTTGGAACGTTGCGGAATCCTTCAGGTATTTCATCCAAAATACTATGCCACGTACCTATCGTGCGCCGATTCTGAAAATCACACGTAAAAAGAGTTAAAAATCTTTCTAAGGTTATTTCATAAAATGTAAATTTTTAGTTATTTATGTGGTTATTTTTTCATTTAAATATAATATGAAATTAATTACGCAGTACTGCTTGTCTAAGGCGAATGACGAGCTGTGACGATTTGAACAAATTTAGTGAAACTTTTATGCGATGCAATTACGCGTTTACGATTTTCGAGTAAAAACATTTATGTATTTCAAGTTGATTGCTTTAACTACTTAGTAATTAGTATCTAGAATAATTGTCCTTTAATATGATATTGAAAATTGTGCCTATGAAATATTTAGTAAAATTACAAACAAATTTCTGAAGTAAATTATTGAAAATTCCTAAACTATTGGCATTCAATTCAGAGTTTGGGTTCTATTCAACAACTCACAGAATCATCGCAAGCCATATTGATATCAAGGTCCTTGAAGCAGTCAATCCACTGCTTCCTACCTTCTGGCGTAGGACTATTCCTGCCAATAATGCAACAGCCAAGCAAATCATCGTGGCCTATTCTAAAATACAACCGATACAATACAGAAATACAATATTTTTAATATTTCATTAACTCTTCAGTTCATTTTGTTCAGATCAGATTTAATTTCCATTCTGAGAATGTTTTTAGCAAATGTGCTTATCAAAATGTGCTGTAAAAAATGATGCAAAAGAAAATATCTAAAAATACTGGAGAGGAAATATCTAAGTAAAATGGTAATTGTTTGAACCATACCTATCCCAATCCATTACTTGAACTAGTAGATTAGTTCGCTCAATTTCATTCAAAGGAAGATCAAATTCAAGGCACTCATGATAGACGGGGTTTAAATTGGCACGTTTAATTGATGTTTTACGTGCTTTTACGCGCTGTCGTTGATAGATCTGTTCAATTTTCACGTAGGGGTCTGGAAAACTATATCATATCATTTTTGCATAATATATTTTCACAATTAAAGAGAAATTTTAATTACAAATTAGAAAATATTCAGTTGCAAAAACTAAAATTTCAAGCACTGAATTAATGAATTTTTTTAAAGATTAAAAAACGAATTGATAACTTTAGTTTTAACAGTTTACTCTTTAAGTCTCTAAATCTTAAACATTCTTCAGTTTTCTATTTAACTTAATATTCGTTTGACTGTGAAATTTTCACATTATACAGAAACAGTTCTTATCTGATGCGCCAGTAATATCCATCGGTCTTAAATTGTATGCCTTGGATATGGTAACAAAAAGCTTTCGGTTGACAACGGAATACGATAAATACAATAACAAATCACCAAAATCATCTTTACCCTTAAATCAAAATAGAAATTTGACATTTGTTGAAGTTAATGAAATTCAAAAAATATTTTAGTACATAATAATAATATTGTTTTTTATATGTGGCATTGAAAATTTAAAAATTTTTGTGGAATATATTAACAATTTACAGAAAGAACTGACCAAACTGCCGACAATTTGCATAGTGTGTTCAGTCCAGCTGCTTAAATCTGATTTATCAAATAGATCTCTCATAATAACATTACCAACAAGATCATGTCGTGTAAAACGATCGAAGTTATAGACTGTGAACTAAATAAAATTTTATGTTCAAATTTAGTGATCAGTCGAAGAAATGTGACAATATATTAAAAATCATTTTGTTATTTGAAAAATTTTATTTTTGATAGAAATTCCCATTTTTTATTTGTTTGAATGACACATTTAGATTTTTCAAAATAAAAATTAAGTAAACTAATGCTAATATTGCTGGCAAATAATCAATTGTCAAGTTCGATTAATACTGCAAGGAAGAAATAAATATCATTTGAAATTCGCCATTCGCAACTGGCAAAATGTTAATTCTTAATCCAGCAAAACTGACATAAAAAAGTGATAAAATTCATTTTAAACTTACTTGGAGCATTCTATTGCATAAATTAGCATAGCTAACATCGAATGAAAACATTTCATTGAATTCAGGATTGCAAGAGTTTTTGAATATTCGAGTTTTGCACTGATTCCGTCTTTCAGGCAAGAGGCACAGTTTCACATACGGTTCCAAATTCTAGAAAACGTCTTGTTTTGTAATATATGTTTTTGTAGAGCCAAAATTAATAGCATTAATTAATAAAAATTCTTATATTCTGTGACTTGCAGTTTTCATGTAACTTTCGCATAATTCATAGCCAAGAGATTTTTTTGATGAGATATGCAGATAAACTTACTTCAGGAGGGAGAGCATTCGCTCTTATCACGTGAACCATCAAAACTCGATGGATGAAGTCGTACCGTAATGAAAATGTTAATGTGCCTCTGATGCAGCGATCAGAAGACTTATCATGGAATCCGGATTCATAATATTGCACGGATCGTTTATCAATTTCCTAAAAGTGATGATTGTAGCTCAGTTACAAACTGCTTTTATCATTATTTGCATTACAAATCTACTTAATATGCATTTTTATATTAGCATGCTTTAGAACCTTTTTCACTTTTTGGCATATCTCCAAATTTTAAAGATTATTTGTGTAATTATAATTAGTTGATCATTTTATAAACCAAAAAAAAAGCTACTAATTATAAATCAATTGCTCAAATAAGAAATCAATAATGGATTTGAATTTATTCTTGAATCGTAAAATATTAAACAATTCTTTAATTTACCAATGTGTTTTTTGCCCAAGAAAGTAATAAACAGAACTCAAAGTATTCACAGAAAATTAATTGGAATAAACCTGGTCATCAGTTACTTGGTCAGTGTTTTCGATTTCTGAATTCGTCGATACGCCATTATATTTGGTTTGAGCCATGTTATTCGACAATAAGTTGGCACTTAGAACAGAATCCATTATTAATTTAAAAGAAAGTAATTGAAAACAGCTATTTGAATTTGCATATAACACTTAAGTAATATATAATTTGTTGGGTACTTAAGTATTTTTACTTCACAGTACATAAATAAAAAACATTGCACTTTTTGACAGTAACTTTGATTAATATTTCATTAAAAAATTTTTTAAGATACTGCAGAAAGCAGTTAATTCAGAATCTTTCTTGCAATAAGTGATTCAAAGATTTTTGGGCAATTTGTGTCATTTTTACAAAGACACACTACAGTCGTTATGCATATAAATATTTTTTGCAGTTTATATTTATGTATATTTAAGATCTCAGTTTACATTTCTCAAACAAATCTTTCTAATTTTCCTGTGAGTATTGCATGTTATTTTTGATAATAATAACAGTGATACTAATATTAAGACTAACACTAATATTAGTATCAATATTAATACAAATACTACTACTACTATTATTATTATTATTACTACTACTACTACTAATAATAATAATAATAATAATAATAACAACAAGAATAATAGTAAGTATTAAATTTTATTGATGTATGTAAAAAATCGAGCCATTCTCATGGTGAAAAAAATTAAAGTTTCCATTTATTGAAAATTTTAAATTTTGTACAATGAAGCAAACTTTGTAAGTGAATTCGATCGATCAGATTTGGATTTTCTCTTGCACTGATCTTCATTATTTGATAATAAACGTTGTCGTGGACAAGCACCATGCATTTCTACAACGCTTCCAATTATATACTAAAGTCAGTTGGCATTGAATTCATTAAAGCTTTCACTCACTAAAATATTACTTAAGCAAACTGAATTGTTGCTATTATACAAAAACTCGTTTGTTTTACGTTGCAAATTAATCGTTTAACATTCATAATTCATAAGAATTTTTTTTTAATCAAAAACTATTAAATCGCTAAAGCAATTTTCGCAACGCGCTAAGCTATTAAATTATTTGAGCTGAACATTTTAAAATATTATTAATGGCTTATTATCTCTGACAACTAATTAAAAAGTGAGTAGCTTTTAACGTGCACAAATTTGGGCACGTTAAAAGAACTGTAGAAAAATATTCAAAAAAAGTTGTGCAGAAAAATATTAATTTGTAAGTTTGAACATTACACAGTTGTTGATGATTGAATCACAGAAGTAATATGCGTGAATAGTTGTCAAACAAAACAAAGCATCAGTTTGAGCAGTTTTGAAGTTTAGTTACAAATTATATGTTGCATGCAAAGATATCATATAAATTATATAGTTCACAGATTTTTGCCTTCACAAGATGGAACACAAAATAGTGAAAATTTTAATGCGAAGTTAACACGCAACCTTTTTAGGCTAGTATACACGCTAAAATGCTTGAGAAATTTCAGTGACAGAAGCAATTAGATAACATTCATGGCTTATCACAATTTAAGCGAAAATATACTTTAACTTCAGATTCACAGGTCTGTTCTGTACTAATTCAGAAAAAAGAATAAGTAAACACTATGGATTAAATTTTTTCATTTTTGTGAACTTTGAGAAAGTGAAATTTTCTCAGCAATTTATGAGCTTTTTTTAGTAAAATGCAGCAAATGAAAATTAGAAATCTGAAAAGCTTAGAGTTAGCTTCAGTGAAACTATTGTTAAATTAGCTCATTTGAATTCTGTTTGCGGAAATACACGTTCTTTGCTGTGTGAACTAATCTTTTCTTTCAAATTACTCTGAAATTCGCTATTCCAATCCCAAGCATAATGAATCAGATATGACTGAATTGTGATTTTGATTTAGTACTGATAAAACATAACATAGCAATATTTTACTTTCAAGGTGTTCTATAAAGTGTTTACTTCGAGAACCAAGTACTTAATGGAGGA